GTGTCAATAGCCAGCTGCGCTGCGATCAACTACAGCGGCGAGCGTTGAACAAAAACTTTATCATCGTCGATGTCGTCGTCGTCACCTTGGACGCTCTTGTGGCCGAAAAGGCTATAGCCTTTTCGGCCACGGCGAGGACCCTCGCACTCGTGGCATCTATAGATGCTACGAGTGCGAGGGTCCTCGTCGTGCGTCGTCGTCGTCGTCGTCGTCGTCGTCGGCGTCGTCAGGCTCTGCACCTAGTAAGGCACCCACCCAGGAGGGGGCGCGCCCATGACCTTTGCCACGGGCATCGGCGCAACAGAAACGACCTGCACCGACGCAGATTTAGACACAGCGGGCGAAATCATGTGCTGGGGCGGCGGCTGCATCGGCTGCCTCGGGCCACCAACACTCCCAACACTATGGTTTGGAGTCCCTGGGATCGACACGTTCCCGCTCGTTGACGGGATGTACGGGTCGCAGCCGCCGCCCCTCGTGCAACCGCCGCCCTTGCCGCCCATGTTCATCATGCCGTCCATGTGCATCATGCCGTTGCCGCCGCCCGTGTTCGTCATGCCGATGCCGCCCATGTGCGCCGTGTTGCTGCCGATCCCCTTGCCGCCGCCCATGTGCATCATGCCGATGCCGCCGCCCATGCGCATGTCGCCGCCACCGCCGCTCGCGACCGTGTGGTAGCAGCCGCCGCCTGCGTCGATCACGCCCGCCCTGGCGAAAGCAAGCGGCGGCGTCGTGGGCGCGGGAAGGACGCGGCGCCGCCCGCCGACGCCGCCGCCGACCACCGAGCCACCGATGCAGCCGCCGCCCGCCGTGCCACAATCGGGGAATGGAAAGGGCAATGAAACTGTCGTCGATGATGTCGGCCCTGGCACAGTGAACCTCTGGGCACCGTTGGGATGCCTATAATATCAGCCGCAGCCTGCGACGCTGCCCTAGCGTGCAATGAGGGGCCGCGAACCGAGTGAGGGGTGTGCCGACAATACACACGCATGTTGTTGCATATCTTCCCCCAGAGTCCCGACCCGCCCCCAGAGTTCAGAGCTTTTCGAGGAGCCCCCTAGAGATCCCCAAAGGCCCTGCGGGGGGGCGGAATGCCGAAGGCCCCTGGAGATGACGCCCATTACAGTGTTGGATTCGTGGGCCTCCCAGCCAGTGTTGTCCGCCACGGACTGCGCCATGGAGCTCAATTGCGCCAAAAACTCCTCTCCGCACCTCGACATGAGTCCAGCCGACCGCTTGAATCTGGAATAGGATCGCGGCTCGAGAGCAAACCTGGCTACGGATGGACTGGCGTGGGCCAACCAGATCACCTAGGATAGCGTGCCCTAGATAACCCAAGGTTGCCTTATCTATGGCCCCACGGTTGCCAGGATAGCCTAATAGATAACTCTCTTGAGCGATGTATTCAGACAGCTCTACGATTTCCCTCGATGCCAAAAACATACGTGTACTGCCCACGTTTACCCCCATACCCCAGATAGCCACATACCCTAGATACCCCCATACCATAGCCGACCCTTGATAGCCCCATGCCCTAGATAGCCCTATACCCTAGATGCCCTAGATAGCTCCATACCCAAGATGGCCCAATACCCTAGATAGCCTCATACCCTAGACAACACAATCCACCGAGCCCGATGTATGCACCTGCTCGTGAGAACGAAACTCGCGCCAGCTCTATAGGTCCCCCGACTAGCACTACCCCAATAGACATATGTACTCGCGCTGGCGGCTTCCAGCTGTACATGTGGGAGGGCTCGAGCTGATCGGTATACCCCGTGCAGTCGCGTCGAATTCGTTGATGTAGGGTCCCATTCTGGGCACGTCGGCCCTGCTTAAGAGAAAAGGTATCGGAAATGATAGCGGTCCAAAACAACATACCGATCCGCTCGATCCCTTCAGTATGCGCTCTCCTAGTCGTGGTGCTTATCCCACACGGCCTTGGCTTTAGCCCAGGCATGGCGGCCAGCAGCCTTAGCCACCGCTGCAGAAGCTTTCTTCTGCAATGCCATATTCTCAGCTCCACGGAACGCACGAGTACAGAAAGCTCCCGAGGTGCGCCCCTTGACATCCTTGGACATCAGGAGGGTCTTGAGGTTGAGGTTCAAGCTCGCAACGGCCCCCTCGTAGGTGTTGGCGCCTTTGGGGCATTGCAAGATAAGCTCGGCTGCGCAAGACGCGGGGTCTTGCCGAGGGGGAAGGGGGGGCGTGAGCGAGTGGAGGTCCGATTGCTTTGTGTGTTTACATGTATACGACAGTGCAGATGTATAAGTGCGTGTGCTGTGTATGTGCATGTACGGGCATTTGCATGAGCTGGTGTATGTGCATCCGTAGACGCGCGGTGATATACGCACGTGTCGATGCTCACGTTTACGTATGCGTGCACGTACGCGATGAAAAAGCAGCCGCCACTACAATCGAACTGCGAACGCAAGTGGACGCTGGCCCCGCGTGCAGCATTATATTGATATATATATATATATATATATATGTGCACGTATATACGGCTCCGAATATGCGGGTGTGCATGCGTATGTATATACGTGGTGTCCAGTAGCCTGGCTGAGCAAGGTTCGCAGACCAAGTACGTTCAGAACCACACCCAATGTGGTTTACCCTTCGCATTGTAGCATGTATCATTCGTGATGTTGTTTTCACACAGTGTTGCGTTCTATGTTTTTATTATTGTTTGACGTGCTGAACTCGCCCAGCCACCCCACGTAAGTGCGGGGGGAGGGGGCGTAAGTAATCGTAGGCAGTGAGTTCTGATATGACAGGGGGCGGGTTGGAACACAAAAGCGCCTGCTTGTGCCCCCTTGTTGCACTTGACAGTGTCCTTGGTGATGGACGCCTTGACGCCCTTGCCCTTGCCCTTGCCCTTGCCCATGCCGCGCCCCTTGCCCTTCCCCTTGCCCGCGTGCTTGCCGCGCACCGCGCTGCCCTCCGTGCCGTTCGCCTTCTGCGCGTCGGCCTCAACCTTGGCGGCGGCCTTCGCCTCCGCTTTCATGACCTTGGAGTGCGCAGCCGCCTGCATCATCTTCTTCTCAAGCTCCACGGCAGGGTTCGGCGGCGCCCCCGAGTGGTCGGCAGCGCGCGGGTCCGCCGTCAGGGCGGCGCCAGGGACGCCGACGGCACTGCCACCTGCATCATCACCGCCTACCGCGCAGTCCTCGATGGCTATCCGATGCTCAGCTGGGGGTGCATCCGCGTCAGCGTGCGGAGCGTCAGGAAGAGGGATACCACCGCGGGCCCTAGGCCTGAAAGTGGCGAGGTCGACACCAGGCGCGCGTACACCACCGCCGTCGCCGCCCATCATATATGGCATCATCCCGAAGCCTTGCATCAACATGCCAGCCGCCTGCAGCATCGGCATCATCCGCTCGTCGAGGTTCGGTGGCATCGACGTGGGCCACTGCTGCTGCGGGCTGCCAGCGAGGGCCAGTTGCTGAGGTAGTTGCCTGAGCGACGGCGCGGCGCGAATGCTGCAGTGGGTCTTGCGGTACGCCATCCCCTGCGCGTTAGGGTGCAAATCGGCAGCAGGAAGAGGCGGGTCGATTGGCATGTCCCCCTGATAAGCGAACTCCTTCAGCTGATCCGACAAGTTCTCGGGCCCCCCACCACAGTCACGTGTGGAAAGGGATGCATCCTCATCTTAACGAGGTCGACACACTTCACATGCGCCCGAATGTCCTTGCAGAGCTGGACCTTCTCCTCAGCTGAGCGTGCATGCGAGCTGGGTGTAGTCGCCACAATGATTGCACCGCACCGTTTGAGCACGTCCTCGGACGGGCATGTGAGCCCGACCATCCACAGGCGATTGCCCATGACCTTCGCCTTGAGGTCCCACGAAGCGTCGGCGCTCTGGAAGCACTCCCAGTCCTTGGTGTTGAACAGCCTGTGCACCGAGGTGCAATGCTGCTGGGCCCTGAACCGCCCAGCGCCCCTAGGAGCAGCGGCTGCGGTAGAGATTGCGGTCGCCAGCGTGACTTTCTGGGCGTCGGCCCAGGGGCCAGCGGAGATCTCGGTCGTCACGGCAGTCGCTTGCGGTAAGGTCAGCGCGCCAGCCTGCGTGATCGAGGCGACAATCGCTGTCACCTGAGCCGACAGCAATGCATCGCGCCCCAGGCCAGCCCCCGCTTGAGCGGCCACGAAGGCAACCCGCGACCTGATGCCAGCCACGAGCTGGGCAGCAACATCGACGCCCGCGGCGCCCGCTGCCATGGCGAGCGCTCGCTCCCAGCGAACACTGCACAGCGAGCGCTGCGCTGACCAAGAAGCCCAGGATACCTCAAGCGTCACTCGAGCCAAAACGGCTGCGAACAGCGTCGGCGCAGTCGGTGCCGTCGTCGGGCGGCGTTACGGACTGCCGAGCGGCCTGACAGGGCGCGATCGAGCAGACTCAAACCGATCACGCTACTCAAACGCTCGTATGTTTGAGGCTGCCCTGGAGGGCTCGAACACCTGGGTCGAGGTTGCCCTGGGAAGTTCGAACACTCGTTCGAGGCTGCCCTGGCGGGGTCGCACAACTGTGCGATGATCAATATGATTCCAAGTTGTCGTAAACTGGACACAGGTGTTCGAGGCCGCCCTGGCGGCCTCGAACAACTGTACGAGGCCGCCCTGGCGGCCTCGAACATGTGTACCGGAAGGCCAGACCCGCAACTGAAACCTACATGAAGGTGAGGATGAGCTAATGATGAGGTGAGGATGAGGTGAGAATGAAGTGAGAATGAGGTGAGAATGAGGTGAGAATGAGCTAGTGATGATGATTGTGATGATGACCACGATGATGTTATCCGAGACGTGAGTAATCGACATACTCGAGTTGCCTACTGGGCACACTCACCATGTGCCGCTGTGCGCCCCCGTGCACGCAGCCCCATAGCTTGCAACGGACACAGCGCACGAGCCCCAAAACAGTCAGCACCGCCTCTCCACGACGCGCGCAGCAACTACGTCGGGTTACGACCGCTGCTGTCACACACCAGCGCTGAACGAATTCACTCGGCATCTCGCTCCTGGCTGTCTGCATCTACGCACTCCTCGACGTGGTGCTGTAGGTAGAACTCCTCGACGACCTTTGCCATCTTGTTCACCTTCTCCTGGAACTCTGCGAAGCTGCACGTGCCCCTGGCGACCTTCATCGATTTCACTTTCCAGCTGTCTCCGTCGAAATAGAACGATCTGACACTAGAGCGAGACTTGACCCAGAAAGCGTGTTCCTCCTGGACGGTAGGCGTCGGATCGTCGCCATATTGACCCTCAAGTTGCTCAGGCTCAGAGGCGAGTAGTGCGATGGCTTTATCCGTGAGCTCGATGACGAGCTTGCTCCTTTCGGTCGCAGACGCCAAGACTTTCACCGTGACAGGAGCGCCGCCTTGCACCGCGGCAGTAACGGACATCACTTGATCGATATCATCGAGCATCTCTTTCTTAGCCCTCTTTGGTAGGGGGCCCGAGCCAGGGCTATCGGAGTCAGCCAGCAATGGGTCATTCTGCGTTGCGAGCTCTGACATAAGTTTGCCGCACTGCATATTGCGTAGCTTGATAAGCTCGTCGAGCATGGCGAAGTTGTCCCCAATCACGTGACTGCACATCTTGCTCTGGCGATCTATGGCCACGAACTCCTGGCCGTCCACGGTGACGACCTTGGCGAACCACGCCTTGGCGATGATCACCTCGTCCTCGGCGCAAATGGCAGCGAAACCTGTCGCGATGCAGGGCATGGCTGTCAGCGCTCGCGCGCTCTGCGAGGATAGGCACGGCGCCGATAAAGTGAGAGCAGCACTTGCTCGAGCCAATAAGGCCTGTTATCAAATTGCCCGTCGGCTCGTCTGCAGACAGGCCGACGGGCCCGAGCGGTCTTACGCAGTCCCTTGGTGCACTCGATTCTCAACTACAGCGGTGCCCAATCGGTGCCCTCGCGACTGGGCTGCATATGGGTAGCGGGTGGGCCATGTCATGAGCTTATGCGTACGTATGTGCATGCACGTGTGCACGCGCGCGTGCACGCGCGCGTGCACCGCGTGACTGTGCACATGCAGCGCCACATCCAGATGGGGCGCCCCTCGCTCTTATCGAGCTCGGCCATGGCTATGAGTATAGCTAGACAGTTGACACAACAAACACTTCCCATAAACAGTTTGGGAGGGGGGGGGGCACGGCGAGCTCGAGCTCCAGAAGGGGGGGGATGGGGGAGCCCTGAGGGGAGCCAATCGGGGCCCCGTTGAATCGCATATCACAGCATAGCGTAGCATATCGTTGCAGGACATAGCGTGACGTAGTGCATAGCGTAACATCATATTTGGGGCCACGTCAGTCAGTTCAGTTGAGCCCGCCAGTCAGCCAGTGAGTCCGTCAGTCCAGCCAGTCAGTCAAGTCAGCCAGTCAATGCACCAGTCCAGTCCAGCCAGTCAGTCAAGTCAGTCAGTCAGTCAGTCAGTCCGTCCAGTCAGTCAGTCAGCCCAGTGAGTCAGTCAGTCCAGTCAGTCAGTCAGGAGGGGTGATGGGGGGCGGAGGATGCAGGAGGAAGAGGGGGATGATGAGGAGGATGAGGAGGTGGAGGAGGAGGAGGAGTGGTGATGAGTGCAACGGCGCTGCGCTGGATACATTCACTCGCGACGGCGAGGGCGCACGTCTGCAAGCAACAAGCAAACGTTGAGGGCGCGCCCCTGCAAGCAATGCGGGGAAGGACAGGCGCAGCGGAAAACTGTGCACCACAGAGCGAGTATGCTGGCGCGCCGACACTGCGCGCGAGCTGCCGTGGATCCGAGGGGCAACCATTGCGCGCGAGTTGCCGCGGAGCCGAGCGCCGCGACACGCGCAATCGCACGCCCACTATCGTTCTCTCACAGTCTGTATATATATATATATATATATATATATAGATACACGTATGTATATCCACCTCTCCCTCTCTCTACCTCTGTATATGTATGTAATATTCCGTTTATCTCTCTCTCTCTCTCTCTCTCCATCTCCCTCTCCATCTCTATCTCTCTCTCGCTCTCTCCTCTCGATCTCTCAGTCCCTCTCCCTATATATATATATATGAATGTATATCCACATATCTCTCTCTATATATATATGCCCATCCATATGCCCCTTCCAAGTGGGCGAGCAATGCGCAACTGCCGCGAGAAAGTGGCCTCACGCACGTTTCTTGAGAGGGTTCTCCTCTGGCCCCTCAGAATCAGCAGGCCGCTTGGGTGCGTCTGACCACTGGAGCTCCTGCCCCGCAGTCACAACCTTCGAATTGAACATGACAGGGATCAGAACCGACTCAGCCTTCGGGCCAATGCCCCTGACGTTGGGGCCAGGAAACGGGCCAGAAGCAGACACCCCCTCACTTGAAACATTGACGCGCAACGAGCCCATGGCCATGTTGCCGCCAACGGCGGCCTTCCCGACGTGCCAAAACGGCACGAGAAAGCCAGCCTTGTCCTTCGAGGGCTGCTCCGAGCGAGGGTTGAGCCACACTTGGAGCGCCCTCCCCTGCGCATCCTTCAGCGAAAGCTGCGGGATGACGACGCCTGTTGCGGGCGGCTTCGTGCCCGAGCCAATAGACGTGGTCAGAGGGATCAGCACAAGCTCCCCTTTTTCAAACTTTGCCCTGCTAACCACTCTCTCTGCGTAAGGTTTCGAGGCAGAAGCAAAAACCAACGATATATTGCCAGCCTGGCAATGCTGCGCATAACAAGAAGCAAGCGCGTGCCTGACCAAGCTCACGGCGTTCTGCACGATCAGGTCGGCGCGGTCCTGGGGCGCGCCAGGCAGGTGACAGCAATGCGCGACAAGCAAGTGACAGCATTGCGCCAGAAGCAAGTGGCAGCAAGTGGCAGCAATGCGCGAGGTATACGTTGCATGGATGGGGGGAGGGGAAGGAGGAGGACGATGCTGGTGAGGAGGAGGGGGAGGAATAGGAGGAGGAGGAGGAGGAGGGGGGCGAGGAGCGGGAGGAGGGGGGCCAGTGCCGACGGTTCCCGCGGGGACGGCCCGAAGCACCAGCATCCAATCATGGCGTTCTTATTTGTTGTTAGCTCCCGATGGCCGCTGTCGAGACCACGGGCGAAGTGCACGAGAGGAGACAGAGAATGAACGCACGACGCATCCATGAGCAAGCCTGGTCAACGTGGTTTCTATCCCCGTGAGGGGCGTTACAGGGTATGTACATAATTTTGTAGACTGGCATTAGGTAAAAGGGGGGCTGCGCCTGTCAGCAGGATT